AAGCACCATCAGGACTGTCCCCTCAAGGAGCCTGCAGATGGCCACCTGTTGGACATGCGCTCCTTCTCCCCTCCCCCAGCCTCCCTCCACTTAAACTCTGTTTTTCTAGAGCAGACGTTGCCTGAATCACGATCGGGCATCTTCCTGGCAGAAATGCAGACAAGGGCAGGAAGGTTTCCAAGGAACCAGACCTCAGCCCGGCAGAAACCTGCGGAAGGACCCGAGAGTGAGGGAAGGAGGCAGATGACCCAAGATGGAGGGCCGGGAACCCTTCCGCATCTCACTGCGGGAACAAACTGGTGGCAGCTGAATCCAGTTATCAGATGATAAGTGGAGTGTGCCGCAGCTCAGCCCAACTCCACTCCGCGCTCACGAACCTACTAGATAAAGACGCCTCCGTTCAGATAACTGCAAATTGCTTTTGGAACCTTCATTTCCTATTAGTTCATTAATCTGTCTATTCAAAACTCCAACAAGACAGCTGATGATCATTCCGGAGGAAGTGGACACTGAACCGAAGCAGAAGGGAAGGGGGTTTAGAGGAGAAGTTGTTTCTGGCTTCCTGGGTGGAGGGGAACCCCAAGTTCATTCATCAAGTTAGCGAGGGTGTTAGATCTCATTAATTAAGCACTTACTACGGGTCAGATGGTAGGATGAGCATTTTTCTGAGCAATTCTCTTACCTGGTGTTTTGTTTTGTTTTTTAAGCAGTCGAGGTTGGGACATATTATCATCTTTATCTCCACTTTACCGAAAAAGAAACTGAGGTTCAGAGAGGATCACACAACCAGTTGGTGGCAGAGCCAGGATTCCAATATGAGAATATCTGCCATCCATCCAGTTTCCTAATCATGTATTATCTTTTTGACTCATCACACAAATATTTATTGGATGCATTTCTTGGATAAACAAGACCCACATAAATAGGGTAAGATTTAGGGACATAAGAAGAGCAGAACTTGAAAAGGAATCGTCAAAAGACTGTCGGTGCTTACAAAAGCCCCTCACATTATGAAACGTTCAGCTGGACAATAATGTTTGATTTTGTTTCCTAAACTACTACCTCTCTGTAGAGCAGTGGTTCTCAAAGCGGGGTCTCAGGGCCAACACATCAACATCTCTGGGGAGCTGGTTAGAAGTGTACCTCTGTCCCCAACATCTCCCAGAGAGTCTGGATTTGAGGCCCTGGGGTGGGGCCCAGGACTCCGTGTTTTAAAAACCCTCTGGGGCACTCTGATGCCTGCTTCACTTCAGGGCCCATGATCTAGAAAAAGAAAAGGAGCTCAGAAAGGGGACATGAGACCCGACTCACACTGCCCGGGCCCAGGACCCATCATCTGATGCAGGCCAGGGGCGGGGCCTGAGGAGGTGCATCCGTAACCAAGGTGATGCTGCTGCTGCTGGTCTGGGTACCACCCCCAGAACAGCAGGCTCTGAGCCAAACCCTGTGGCCCCGGGAGTTTCTGGCACTCACAGGATGAGGATTGCTCTGGATTAAAAAAAAAAAAAGAAAGAAAATCTTTCCCTTCAGGGAAGATTCAAATCCATGCCTCTGGGCTCTCTAGGAGGTCAAGAAACCACCTGGAACACACTCCTGTTTTTCCAGAGTTCTCATTGGGTAGGAGACCTTCCTTGACCTCCTTGATCAAAATTGTAGCCCCCACCCTGGCCCTTCCTATTTCCCGTCTCTGATTTGTTCTTCTTAATGTTTAGCATCATCTGATCACACGATCTATTAAAACCCATCTACTCTGTTCACTGTCTGCCCACCTCCTGGCCCCCACCAGCACAGAGACTTTATCGGTTTTATTCCCTGTTGCTTTTCAGGGTCTGGAAGAGTGAGCACCTGCCGCATAGTATTCATGTATCACAGTTAAGCATCCCTAATCCGAAATCCAAAAGGCTCTGAAATCCAAAAGTTGTTAAGCACCAACAGAATCTGCAATTCCACACCCAGTCTCACGTGATGGGTCGCCGTCAAAACACAGGGGCCTAAAAACATTGCCCAGCGTTAACTTTGGCCTGTGTGTATGTGAAACATACATGAATGTTGTGTTTAGACTTGGGTCGCCTCCCCAAGTATATGTATATGCAAAGAGTCCAAAAGGAGACTGAATCTGAAACTTGGAAGCACTTCTGTCCCAAGCATTTCAGACCAGGGATCCTCAACCTGCAGGAGTCATTACTGAGCCGAGGCACGTGGGTTGAATAAGTGCTCTAAGGAGCCGCCTCCCCGGGCTCGGGCACACCTCTCCTGAGTTCCCCTGTGGTACTTTTTAATGCAAGCTCTTCACTTTCATTGAGACTCACCCCTCTCCAGCGAGACTCCCCTGGACTCCTTGACCACAGAGCCTGGGCCCTACCCATTTGCCTCCCTCCTGGGCCCTCTATCAATCAGCCCTTCAGGGCACCCAGAATGTTGTCAGTCCCTAAAGACACATGTAAAGGACCATCCTCTGTCCTCACTTTCATTGATGCAAACACTGCAGGGGGCAAGTTTGAATTTCACCAACATCAGTAACACATGCTCATAATCGTATATCGGAGACAGCATTGAGTTCTGTCAAGTTTAAACAAAACCAAGACCCCTGAAGCCCGCAGGACCCCCACATTAGCTACAGTAGCTATCTGCCATTTTGCCAGTCGAAGGGCTGAACAAATTAGTGAGGTCACCAGTGTAATCCGACCATGTCCTGGTTTAAATCATGCTCCCGATCAGCCAGGAGCTACTTCTGCACAAGATGGAGCGAGGAAGAATGTTCTTGAATAAAACATTGGAATCTGGGGCAAGAGACATTGTCTTGACTCCTTTCAACAGTCCGGAGGTAGACGCTAATATCATGCCCAATTTGCAATGAGAAAACTGAGCTCAGGTGGCCACACATTTTTGGGAGGTGGGGTACCAGGGATTGAACTCAGCGGCACTCAGCCCCTGAGCCCCATCCCCAGCCCTGTTTTGTATTTTATTTAGAGACAGGGTCTCACTGAGTTGCTTAGGGCCTCGCTGGTGCTGAGGCTGGCTTTGAACTTGCAATCCTCCTGCCTCAGCCTCCCAAGCTGCTGGGATGGCAGGTGTGCACCATCACGCCCGGCAATGCCACGCTTCTTAAGGGCTCAAGTTCGCGTGGGGAGTAGGGCAATGCAGCTGGGACTCAAACTGGGCTCTGCCTGCTTCTAAAGCATGGGCTACTTGCAGCCAGCCCTCTGCCCAGCCCCCAGCCCTGCCAGCCTCCCCTCCCAGCCCTAGGCAGGACCCGAGCCTGTGCCCATTGCTTTTAGAACAGAGAGCTCGGAGCAAAGGCCACCTCTGAGTTCTGCCTCCAGTGCTGAAAATTGAAACAGCTTGGGAAGCCTTCAGCCTGGCTGAGTCCTGGCCGTGTCCCTGTCACCTAATTACTTGACTTCAAAAGCCTGCACGCGGCAGGGGCAGGTGCCAGGTGGGAGGATGTGAAAGTTGCTATTCCCCCACCCCCACCCCAGAACGTGGTGTCACTAGATACAGATAAGCCGGGGCAGCAGGCATACAGGCCTGACCCAAGGACCTGGCCTTGTGTCCCTTGGGGTCAGAAAGACCAGGCCACCAGAGAGACCAGGTCCTCCGAGGCTCAAGGGGGCAGGGCAGCTTCAAAAGGCCAACGCGTGGTAATTACCGCCCCGTCTCCCTTAGACCTGGATCTTAAGGCTTCTCAGGGGCTGGAACTAATTAATCCTCCACACAACCCCAGGAGGGGGAGGCCAGCCCTACCGTCATCACTCAGGTCAGACCGCCAGGTGGGGGTGAGGCGGAGAGTGAGCTTGTCCCATCTTGGGGCAAGGAGGCAGGGAGGCCCGAAAGGTCCCAAGTGAGAGTTCCCCGCCTGGCTAGGTAAGAAACAGCAAAACTGGAGAAGACAGAGGGGTTTCTAGAATCTTTTAAGCTGAGTGGCTCCTATCCAGCAAACGGAGGCGTGTCCACTTGAGACTTTTACGGACATGGAATGTTGCTGGCTAGTTTGTAGAAATTGGACCTCAGGGGGTCTTTGGTTCAGGTTTATGGAAGAAGAGGCTGCCCAGGAAGGTTCTGGTAATTTCTTACAGAGGACAGAGCTCTGAGCCAGCGCTGCACTATGTCCTGTCTGTTGATTGACTGGATGCTCGGCATTGCCTGAGGCAGGTATAATTGTATTCCTTTCATACGGGACAAAATACTAGGGATGGAAAGGAGAAATGACCTGCCCAAGGTCATACAGCTACACAAGTGGCAGAGCCCGGGTTTGAAAGCCGTTTCCTCAGGTGCCACAGAGCCTGTCTGGTGTCACAGTGTTCTCTTGCACCTTTCCCTAGCTTCTGGAAGTCATGCCCTGGAATAAGCCGAACCAGAGTTAGGGAGTCTGGGTTTGAGTCTTGACTGCTACTTCCTGGCTGCAAGTTTTCCTTGTGGAGGCTCAGCTTTCACATCTGTAAAATGGAGAGAAGTGGAACGCTCCAGAGAAGTACCATGAGGAGAAAGAATAGAGGTGAGAAGGACTTGCAAACTCCAACTCAGGGATCTGCAAATTATAGGACCAAAGCCCGTCTGTAGCCTGTTTTTATAAATAAAGCTTTATTGGGATGGATGCGTTTGTTATGTCTATTTGTTTCTGCTTTTGAGCTGCAGGGGGCAGCGTTGAGCAGTGGCAACAGAGACCGTGCAGCTGCAAAGTTAAAACATTTACCATCTGGGCAACTAGAGAAAAGGCTTGTCACCCCAGATCTTAGACGCTATTGAAACTACAAGGTGCCACCGTGCCCTGGCACACAGCATTTTGCATTTCTACCATCTTCCATTAGCTCTGGTCCTTTCTCACAAGTGATCCCTCCTTGTCCCTGTCCCCAAATTTACAGAAGTGCTTTTAAGACCCATTTCCGAAATGCAAAGCAAACAACTCTTACAAGAATTAAAAAACCACACTCCTATAAGCAATGGCGGAAACCAATATGGTCAGGCACCGGGAAAAGTCACCGCAAGGTGCAGTCACTTACTTGCAGTTTTTACACTTGAGGCCAAAAAGCATTCCCTTCCCACAGACTGTACATGTCTGAGACATCCAGTACTTGGTGGAAAACCTGTGAAAGAGACAGAAATGATCTTAGTGACTGAGCCATCTCTAGCAGGGTGAACTACTTGGAGGGGCATTGCAGGGGCCCTAGATCCTAGTCCTGCTTCTTCCAACATAGGTGACTTAATCAAATTGTTGAGACTACTGGAGCAGTCTCCTTATCTGTAAAGTGGGGTTCATAATGGTATTGGCCTCACAGGTTATTGAAGGAGGCAAGGCTTCACTCAGCGTCTGGCACAAAGCAAGGGCTCAGTAGATTAGGTTACCTTGGACATTCATAATGGTCATTTGTTCCCTTGACAAATATTGCCTGGTAGCCTACTATGTGCCACATTCACTTCTAGGACAATGGATGGGGCTGGTAGGATCCTCAGAGAGTCACAAAGCCAGGTGGGGTCTCCCTAGGAGTCCACCTGAGCTAGTCTCCATTACTGCTAAGAACATCACCTGGGGAGCTTCAGGGCGCCCTCCCTTCCCCAAAGAGCTGAGGCCCCAAACTTTAGTAGCAGAAAAAAATCTCTCAAGGCAAAAGCCTTTTAAGACCCTCCGCTCACCTCCTTTTTGCTACCCTCCTACTTATGCCAAAGGCGAGGAGTTTGGAGCGCTCCCACATACCGGTTCCCGGGTTGGAGGAGAGGGCAGTAGGTTAACTCCCCGGGCCCCGCCCCCATCCTGCCAGGTGCTTTCTTCCCTGAGATACAAAGCGGCAGCAGGGCTGGGCCCGGGGAAGTATTGAAGGTTGCCAGGTCACAGTTAATTTTAATTTTCAATTTGTGCCACCGTCGGCAGGAGTCGTATCTAATCTCCACCACTCTGTGGAGTGTCAAAAGGAAAATCGGAAGTGATTATATAACTTGGAGACAGAATTTTGAGGGAAAGGCTGTCTCGGTCTGCTGTCCCATCTTGCCCCATCTGGGTCAGTCCCTCTCCAAACAGAACCAGCCGCAGACCAAAACCTCCATATCTAAGCAAATAGCAATCTTCGGAGCAAGACGCAGATTGCCAAGAACGCATCCCTCTCCAGTTTTTGGATTTGGGGGGTTGTTTGGGCCCCTTTGGTCCCCTCAGGAGGCCAGGGAGTTAAACAGGGTCCGTCTGCAGGACATGGCAGCCCCGGGGGATGATGTGCTTCACCCACCAGCTAGACACAGGGGAAGGGGGCAGGGTGGCTGGTGGCCGTCTTTTCTCCTTTTCAGCCCTCTCCTGTCCCCAGGGTCAGCTCTCCCTATTCCCCAGCTGTGATTCCTGATGATAGGAATGGGGTTTTAATGTCACCTCTTCATCAAGGCTGGGGTGAGTTCAGTTTCTTTCTCCTGGCCTGGTGCCCCAGGGAGGAACCCAGGAGGAGAGGAAAGTAACAAGTCATCCCCGGTCCCTAGGAAGGCTAGGAAGTTGGTCACCATACCCAAGATTATCAGGTCGCTTCCCTCCTTCGGGAATCAGCATCTGAAGCTGAGATACTACCGGGTTCCAAAATTAGGGGGAGAAAGTCTGGGAATCGGGACTATCCAGGGGGCAGAGCTGAACCAAGGGCGTGGTCAATCCAGGGGTGGAACTAAGCCAGAGACATGGCCAATCCAAAAGAGGAATTGAGCCGGGGCGTGGCCAATCTAGGGGTGGTACCAAACTAAGGGTGTGGGCCAATCCAGGGATAGTGAAGTCAGGGGTGTGGCCAATTAGAGGGCGGAGCCAAATCAAGGGTGTGGCCAATCCGGGGATGGCAAAGTCAGGGATGTGACCAATCCAGGGGAGGAACTGAGCCAGGGGCGTGGCCAGTCCAGGGATGGTACCAAACTAAGGGTGGGCCAATCCAGAGATAGTGAAGTCAGGGGTGTGGCCAATCAGTGGGCGGAGCCGAATCAAGGGTGTGGCCAACCCAGGGATGGCAAAGTCAGGGATGTGGCCAATCCAGGGGAGGAACTGAGCCAGGGGCGTGGCCAGCCCAGGGATGGAGCTGGGCCTGAGAACAGCGACACAGACACAAAAGCCCTGGTCTTGAATTCTCCTCCCGGCAGCTCACAGCCTGGCCCTTGACCTGTCTGTCACCTAGTTCTCACTGCTCCCTCCAATCTTTTCTCTTTCGAGTTCTAACTATCCTGGCCACACACTTCTTTCAAAAACTGTTGACAAGATGCCGTTCAGCAGGAGTGCTCATTCCCACCTAGTCCCGGGCAGTGTGTGGCACCTGGTGTCCCTCCCCGAGCCCTGGCCCTTCAGGGTCTGTGCACTGACCCTCCCCTGGCAGCTCCCAGGGCACAGGCCTCCCCAGTGCTGCCAACCTCGCACAGAAACCCTATAAATGCGAGGGGAGGAATCATGAATGAGTGACAACGTCCTTCGGCTCATGCACAGAGGCCCTGGCCCAGAAATCTCTCAGCGGCGTGTCCAGGAACACAAAGCGCCGAGGCTCATTAGCTTTTAGGACCGTGACTCAATTCTCCAGGGTCTCGGTTTCCTCATCGATCAAATGGGCCTGGCCATCTCTACTCCACTTACCCGGCTGACTTCCTGAGGGGATTATGAGGATGAGGAGCCCAAATGTGGAAAGTCAGATTTAGAAAGTTGAAGAATTTCTTATAAAGAATGACTCATAGATAAAATGACTAGATGACCAGACCTCTCCCCCAAAGGGCAGGTTATGATCCCAGAGGAGAGGTCCTGTTGACCCAATAGGGCTGCGGCTCTGGGACAAAGTGTCCCTCACAGACAGGGAGCACAAATGAATTCACCTTGCAATCTTGTGTTTTCTGGGTGAGGAGCCCCCAAATCAGGACAAAAAGCATTTACCTTAACAATAATACCATTTACTGTTTCTTATGTATTTTTAACAACTATCCTGTCAACATACTCCTTTCAAAAACTGTTGACAAGATGCTGCTCAGTGAAAACTTTACATAGATCACATATATTTCATCTTCATAACCACCCTATAGATGAGCAGAATTATCAGAAAAAAAAAATGGAGTCTCAGAGAGGTTAAGTAACTTCTTTGAGGTTGCAAAGCTTTACTAATTGGGATTGGAACATGAGTCAGTCTGACTCCAGAGCCCTGGCACTGTGTGGGAATTTGATCAGGGTAAGGTTAACCTTGGTCCTCTGGTTGCCATTTAGCAGACAGGGGGCAGGGTGCTATAGGAGCTGGGGCACAACACTCTGCCCTGCCTTCGGCCCTTCATGGGCCTGGGAGGTGGTACCCAAGCACTGGGAACCCAGCCTACCTGTGCTTGATGGAGTTGCCGAGGTCTCTGCGCGGGATCTGCGGGGACCAGCGCGGCACTGACAGTGTGTCTGCAGGAGAGAAGAACAGAGAGAGAAAGAGCTTGTTACAGCAGCTCAGAGGCTGGGGTGGACTCTGGTCAAGGCCCGGAAGGACACCAACTGCCTCCACTTGCTAAACCAGGCTGAGCAGGACCCTGGTTTGGGTTGTCACCTCAGCCAGTGCAAGGTCCCCTGGGCAGGGCAGCCAGAAAGTGCCTTTAAAGAAACTGCCTGTGGGAAGAATCACTTTGGCATCTCCCCCATTGACAGAGCACTTAGCCTGTGCCACATGTGCCAAGTGACTCAAAGGACTTAGCTGGCCATGCCCTCCAAACAACCCCAGCACGAGGGGGCTGGCATGCCCTCCACACAGGTCGGGGAGCCAAGGCCTGGAGAGGGCCACACTGTGTGGGCTGCACAGCACCTGGGGACCCAGGTCTGAGGGACCTCGGGGCCCAGGGCCTTGCCATGTTGCAATGCAGGAGATTATAGACACCTGTCAATCATGCTATGGATTTCTGGCGTCCTCTTACAACTTGTGCAATGATTAAGTTAGCATTGCAGGTCAAATCCATGTCTTTGTTTAAATATTTGTTCTTAAAGACAAACTCTACGTGAAAAGCTATCTCTTTCTGTACATGGTAGGTGACATTTTAGACTCTCTAGCCAGGTGCCACCTAAGCCGTCTAGAATGAGTGAGTGAATGAACAAGTGGTGGGGGTGAGTGGGTAGACAGATGGATGGATGGATGATGAGTGGATGGATGGGTAGGTGGAGGGTAGGTGGATGGAAGGAAGGATGGATGGATGGATGGACAGATGGATGGTGAATGGATGGATGGATAGGTGGGGTGGATGGGTAGGTGGGATGGATGGGTAGGTGGGAGGGTAGGTGGATGGAAGGAAGGAAGGATGGATGGATAGATAGGTGGAAAGGTGAGTGGATAGAAGGAAGGATGGATGGATGGATGGGTAGATGGGATGGATGGGTGGGTGGGAGGGTAGGTGGATGAAAGGAAGGATGGATGTTTGAATAGATGGATGGATGGATGGATGGATGGATGGATTGGTAAGTGGGAAGGTGGGTGGATGGATGTCTAAATGGATGGACAGATGGATAGGTGAATGGATGGGTTGGTAGGTGGGAGGGTGGGTGGAAGGAAGGAAGGACTGGTGGCTGACTAGATAGGTGGGTGAGTGAGTGGAGGGCTGGCTAATGGTGGATGGATGGATGGATGGATGGATGATAGGAGGAAATTATAAATTATGTACCATGCAGACTTCCATTTCACACTTTAGGGTCAATCCGAGGGAAGTGCCCTGTCACTATGCATGGAGTTCCAGGTCCCCTGCAGACCCTGTGCACCAGCCCCACCTCCACCTCCCTCCTACAGACCTCACGGGGCCCAGAGAGGTGCCAGACGACAGCAGCAATGAGCCAGTGCCACCTGTGAAGTCTCCCCCGGGTCGGGAGAGAAGGAGGAGGGGCAGCCCCGCGCCAGCTGTCACCTCTCAGGCCAGCGGGCGCTCCTGCTTGCCGGCCGCAGAGGCGCCTGGTTGCCTACAGCCATCGCTCTGGAGTGGCCCTCGGTGGGGAGCCGGCAGGTCGGGACCTGCAGGGAGCACTGAGCCCCGACCCACTCACTCCTCTCTTGTAATGACACGGTGGCACCCTCTGAAAGCTGTTTCCAGAAACCCCAGCTCTGCCCTTGCAAAGCTGGGGCCCTCTCTGGGAGAGCTAATGATCTTCCTGGACCCCCGAGGGCAGAGAAAACTCGCCAAAGAGACAGGCTGATGGATCGGTGAGCAGCGCAGCCTGTGGGATTTCCTCTAGTTTAACTAAGAACTAAATGTCATCAAGCTCCGAGTCCATTACTACTCATCTCTGTTCCCGAGGGACGCAAAAGACAAGAAAGAAAAACAATTTTTTAAAAAGAGCTTTTTTCTGTTTTCTTTTTTTTTCTATTCCAACCTCCTCTGGGGACTAAAGTCAGATGTGGAAGGAAACACAGGGTCTGTTAACTCCTAAAGCTGGGCTGGAGAGGACAGGTTTGCCTCCTTATGAGGAATCCCCAAAACTTGGAGTGCCACCTGGGTCTCTTCTCAAGGGCCATGCCAGGTGACTGACGAGAAGGTTGTGTTGGGAAGGATTCTGAGGGGCCACAGGAAACAGCCCTGAGACTGATTAGCAATGGCTGCCTCGAGTGCAGACTGAGTGCCCACAAGTCTGCACACATCTGTCACCTCTGCAAAAGGAAGAACCACGTCTCCATCTTCACGTAGGTACCTCGTATAACAGTGCAGAGAACCAGACACAAGTTTGCCATGTCCAAGATGATTATCATAGAAACACTGAGTTTACTGATCACTCAACAAGTGTCAAGCATGACAATGTGCATTTGATACCTGGAGATTGTGTCTCCGTGAAGTTGTTGTTTTTGTTATTCCCATTGGGCAAAGGAAGATAAAGGAGTTTAGAGAGGTACGGTAACTTGACAAAGGTCACACAGCCAGACACTGGCCGAAGTAACTGCAATTGTTCAAAAGCCATTCAGAAGCCGCTAAATGAGTGTTCTCAACTGGAAGTTTGCTCCTTATGGGATATTGGATGACATCTGGAGACCTTTTTGGGTGTCACACGATGTACATGTGTTACTAGCAGGGTGAGGCTAGGGGTGCCGTTCAACATCCTGTACTATACGTGACAGACTCCACACAGGACAAATGTCAGCCATGCCAAGGTTTGAGAATTTCTGATCTAGATGTTTCTGTCTTTCTCTAGCTACATCCTCCCTGCTCCATGACTGTCCCTGACACACACGCGCACACACAATCACACACACACACAAGCACACACACAGCTTGAGTTCCTAGAGCGCAAGTGAGCTTTTACTGTAAACACATCTCACTGCTCACTCTTAGATTCATATCCCACTTACTCTGTTACCCTCAATTACAACGCATTTTCCAAAAAGTAGCTGTAATTAAGTTTGGCAGTTTGGTTTAATTTCCCAATATCCAGTGGAGGGGGAGCTCTGTCAATTGCATTAGCGGCTGCAGCTTCATTAGTCTCCAGCCATCATCACCCCCACACCACTTCCTGTGTGGGAGTGCAGCCTTGAACTTGGAGATTCTCTCTTTACTTTCTCTGTTTGGATTTTATTAAACTTGCCCAGGCAAGCCTTAAAGCAAAGGGAAACTGTTGAAAGGGAAGGATTTTTTTTTTTTAAAGCTATGAGAATAGACGCCTTATCATAACAGAGAAGGCAAACAGCATTTAGAGCAATTAAACCGATATAGAAACTTCGGTTTAACAATCAAAGCACCTATTAAGATGTCTCCGTAGCTATGTGAAAGCTTCTTTTCCACTCTAATTTTCTGATAACGAGTCGTGCAGACATGAAGGCAGGATTCTGCACCTCGCTGCTGAGTTCAGTCTCAGGGACGAAATCACAGCCATCTAGAGCTTGGAGAGGGAAGGGGGCAGGGGGAGGACTTGCACACACTTGCACAGGTGTGGCCTCGGAATAGCACAAGGAGCCCTGGTCTTTGAAATCACTCTGGAAGCCATGGAGACAAACAGAGGACCTGGCAGAAGGATCTGGCGGTGATAAGGCATCCAAACCAACACACTGCAAACTTGGGCTCTGAAATTAGACTAACAGATAAGGCAGGCTAGGGAAAAACACATCAGGGTGTATACAAAGACACCAGGTAAAACTGGTGACAAAAAAAGCAAAGAAAGAGGAGAAGAAATAAGAAGAAAGTTGGAAATAAGGCCAGATTTTGGTTGAATGTCATCATGTACCAAGCCCCGTCATCAACCAAATCCTTTGTAGGTCATTTCCTCAAATCCATGTACTGCACATATTATCTCATTTAATCCAAACAGGACAGTGTATGCCCGGAGGTAGTACGTCAGCCATTACCATTCGCCCTCATTTCACCCTTAGGAAATCAAAGAGTTAGACCATTGGTCTAGGACCAGTAAAGGCCAGAAGTGGGATTTTTAAATTCAGGTCACATGGCTTAATAAGCACCGCCAATTCCACCAATGTCATTCCTATTTCACAGAGGGCAACGCTGAGGCTTAAAAGTATTAAGCAATTGCCTCTAAGTGTCGAGGACTGAGTTGGGATTTAAACCACAGCCAGGAGCAAACTGGATGCTTCTAGTCCTACATCCTCCTACCTCTGTCTGGGAAGAGTAAAAAGAAGATAAATTCCAACACCATGTTCAGCCTTCAGAGACCAGGAGAGGCAAGAACCTGCATCTCTCCGCCAGCCTCAGAAGGCACCAGCTCTGCCCACACTGGCATCAGGATCCTGGAGACCCATTTTGGACTTGTGACTTCCAGAACTGTTAAGTAATCATTTGTGTGGTTTTAAGTCATGGCACCCCTTTGTTACAGCAGCCGGAGGAAACTCATACAGCACCTGTCTTGTGCCAGGCACGGTCTTAGGAATATACTGAACGGTATAATGAAATTTTCTTAGAGTCTAATGGGGAAATCAGAAGATAAATGAGTAGACAAAAAAGAGTTGTTTTAGGAAAATAAAATACTGCAGACTTTGGGGGTTGTTTTAAAGCCATGGGAATCTTGACCCCTGGATTAGAACAGGGACAGGAGGGTGTGCCACCCAGTGTGTTTAAGAGCTCCCTCTGGTGGCTAAGGGGAGAATAGCCCGCTAGGCTGGGACAGCAAACCAGGGGCAGGACCTCCCCACCTCCCCAGACCCCACCCTCCAACTCCCCACTCCCTGCCCAGTCCAGTGCATCATCTCCCACCCTTCCAAGGCCATTCCATCCCCCAGCCCAGACCGTTCCCCACTGTCCCTCATGACCCCATCAGTAGCCCCTAATCAAAAATCCACAACCACCCTTCACCCCATCCAGAGGCTCTTCTTGCAAAGCCTGTGCCATTTTTACGAAACCCACAGGAGCCAGGCATGGTGTCATGTGCCTGTAATCTTAGTGGCTTGGGAGGCTGAGGCAGGAGGATTGCAGGTTCAAAGCCAGCCTCAGCACAAG